TTTACAACGGGATTTTTCCAGACCTCTGGACAAGTCCGGACCTCTCCAGACGACCAACAGGCAGCGAGCCGCAGCCCGTGCCGTCCTCTGCACTCGACTGGCACCGCCTACAACAACCACACCAATGCCACGTCAAAAAATCCAACTATTGCCACGTCTGTCAGGCAAGGCATCGCCCAAACACGGTGCTTTGCCTTGAAGGTATGCCTCATCGCTGTACCTGCTCCGCGAAACCAGGGCGCAATATTATGACGCATATATATATATATATATATATATATATATATATATATATATATATATATATATATATATATATATTAAGAGCGCGGGCAGCAGTCGTTCATAAGGTACCGGCACATAAAGACGCGGAAAGGTTGCGTGAGGAACGAACCGTTCAATTTTTCACAATACCAGACAAAGGGAGAGCAGGCTGAAATAGTTCAGCGTCAAGTCGCAGCTATACGCCTTCAGCTACCGGACTACACCCAGAAGAGTTTCATGCGTGTGTACCAGCAGATTCTGTTCGTCCATCATTCGTGGAGCCGATGCCTAGAGGGGCTGAGCGGCACCCGAACCAGCGTCGCCACCATCGTCATCATTCCCACCATCCCTTCCATCCCCAAATCAGCCACCACCCTTCATCGCGCCAACGGTCTGGAGCACCTTCTCTCTGCATGCATGCATGCATATATGTATGTATCCATCCATCCATACACGAATATATGCATATATGCATAATACATACATACATACATGCAAGAGTGTATGCATATGTATGTCAGCACATTTATATCGGCATGGTCACATCAGCCCACAGAACACACCGTGCCCGTCATGGAACAGCCCGAGGCAAGTGCTGGCATATAGCGAAAAGTTTTCCATTCAAGTAAAGTCACTATATGGTGCGCTTCTAGCAGCAAGGAACAAAGTGGAACAGCATGGTTCCGCGAAAGAAACATGGCAGTGCCATCCCTGCGAACAGGGAGCAATAACGGGCAGCAGAGGGCTGGTTCTGAAGGCAACCTAATGTGACGCAACCGGCTAGATTACACTCGCTAGATAAACGGTGTTAGCAAGATAACGCAACGCCCCACAATTCAAACTGGCTCATTCGTTGGCTCGTGATCACCTGCGAGAGCACGCCCCCGCCCGTCGCGGGGCTGCCGCGCTCATCGGACCTGCCGCGCTCCTGGGTCGCTTTCTCCGTGGGAGCCTGAAGAGCACTGATGAAGACAGGCTGCATGCAGTGGGACCGTGCATGGAGGGGGGGGCAGTGAAGCCGCCTGTAACGACAGCTGAGAGGTCAGGCGTCAGTGGGAATGTGTCGCTGGGGTTCCCACCGCCGGCACAGCTGCGGATGGAGTCCTGCCTGTGGCGCGTGAAGGCAGCCATGCAGAGGACGTGCTGGGGAGGGCACGTACTTAGCATGCTGGGGCATCCGGGGCGCCAGAGTTCTCATGACGTTTTCCACGATATCAGTTTTCATTTCGCGTTTTCATTCATAAACGCACAGATGCAAATAGGCATGCTTCAATGCTGCTACGATTGCCCATATTAGCCCCCAGAAATTTGCAGGTTTGACATACGTCGCTAACGTCTGAGATTTGAAGCCATCCAGTTAATTTTCATGTTGGCATTTGTGTCAGTGCTAAGATGTTTTCAAACCAAATTTGTTGCCTTGCTGCTTTCTTCCCGGTAGCACACTTAAGCATGACTGAGCCTCAAAAGACAAATGCCTTCCTCTTCCTCGGCAACATCCCCCGCAGGTGAAGGATGATGGGGCGAATTGGTGTGGAAAAACTGTCTTCATGGGCAACTTTTGCGGACGGAAATGCTCGAATTCCGCACATTCCATTGATATGCGTCATGCTGTTGCCACGCCTGTCACACCGCATTCTGCGCCCACGTGCCCTGTCAGCTCGTCAGACCACAGCTGGCGGGACAAGCTGCGCTAGCCGGAGCGACAATGGCTCGCGGCTCGCTCCATGACGAGCACAGTCTGGCGACACCCGGCCGGCGGCCCTGCTCGCCGCCCCGGGGCCAGTGTCACGGTCACTACCTGGTCACCGAGCCGCGACGGAGGTCCGCGGCCCACGGCTGAACGGGGGCCGGCGCTCGGTATCGCTCCAGCATATTTAAAAGTCTGTCTCTAGCATTGTGTTTGCAAGATTTCGTCAGGCGTTTGATGAGACGCTGGTTGGGATCTTTTTCTGAGCCACTCAAAATTACTTTGAGAAGGTTTTATCACATATTCATGGTCTGCTTGAAACATATCGTGTGTTTCAACATTACGCTCTAACGGAGGCGTGCAGTGAGTTGTCTCTAAAAACCTTCTATTGTTCATTTTGTGCGTCCGTAAATGCTTGCGAGAAAGCAACAACCAGGACATTTCTGACAATTCATAGACAGGGCGCACCAGAAGTTTTCGCAGCAATTCAGTGACCGCAAGGCATTAGTCTTCACGCGCGCCAGGAACTTTTAAAAAATCAAGGATGCAATGATCGATACCTAACATGTGCTTTTGAGAAAGTGTGTGATTTTGTATTCACCCTGCAGCACAACCAGGTACAATCACCGAGTCACTAATGCGGCAACCTTTGTTAGTGAGCTGTAGCATTTCCACATAGTCAGCTGTTCGATAAATGTTGATGACGTCAGGAGAGCGCAGAAATCTTCCGGCATGGCGCCTAAGCAATGCTACGAGGGTAAAATGTTCGGATCCATTCGAAAGTTTTCCGTGGAAGTTGCTCTTTTTCGTGGCAACACCTGTTAGGAATCATATCAGCACTCTCCCGCTTCCCGTTCGCTCACGCTGCATTACCAGCTTGATGGTCACTGACACGGGGGCTAAATCCAATAGAATTGTCAGATCCATCGGGGTGCGGCATGGAAAACTTTTCTTCCTAAAGCGTCTGCTCTCATTCTCCAGACAAGTTATAGTTCCCCAAGTACTTGTCAATTTGGAAGAACACGCCGGCTGCCTGAAATATTACTGCCGTTACACCAGGCTTTTACGAGTGAAATGCCCTATTCATTCAGGTCGCAATAACGCGAAAATGTTGCATTTGGCCTTTGTCAGGAAAAATCTAAAGCTACATGCCACCCAATGTCAGAAAAGACCAAATAAATCGCTAATGACAGACGCCCCATGTTGGAACGGTATTCCTTACAACAATCCTATCCAAAAATGTGCACAATATTAACACCATTCGGCCTGGTCCGATTCTCCCATCCAAGAGGTAGCTTCCCTGATGCGTCCTCCCCACAGCCCAACCCAAGGGATCATGACGTGTGACAGCCAGATGGAAATGGCAAAGTTCGGAGCTAGGTGACAGCGATTCAAAGCTAGGTCCAGCCGGCTGCCAGATGGGTCAGCAAAGCTTAGAGTTTGGTGCTCATGTTTCTTTTCTTCCTTTTCGTTGAAGTACTTTCAGGGTCAAGTTAGTTTCAATTTTACTTCTGCGCCAATTCATTTCTTTGTGTATTTCCCACGTCTCTTTTCATGTCTACACTCCACTTCGTCATTGCGCGTTCCTTTCAAATAAGACAAGCGAAAAACATGTAATCTTGCAACCCATGTAAGCATGGTTCACGACACCGACTGGCAATAAAAAATCTCGACCGTTGGCTCGCTTTAACGCGACCGATATTGAAAAAGGTGGCATGGGGATGGCTGAGTAGTTACCACCTCCGGCTTCCACGTGAAAGCCCTGGTTCGGATCCCGCCAGAGTCTTGGCTACAGAGCACTATGCGATGTCTGAGGTCGCTGCCCTTCCATAAAAGGGTGTCCGACGATGTACGTGACATTCCTTCGGTGAGGAAAGAAAGAAAAAGCGGCTTTGGTACCGCAGTGCCAAAAGCATCTCTGTTTCAAATCCCCGGTCACGACGTTATCGCCTTCCGACCTCCGCAGCCCTTGGTTTCAACACTGCTATCATCCTTGCCCAGCGTCCCCCGGTTGCGACACCACTTCCAACCCGCTCCGGCCAATCCCGCCCGGCAACAGTGTGACGTCAGCAGTCGGGTCTTGGGCGGCTAGACGTCTGGCGCCGACACCAAACACCAACGGTTCACGACCGGCGACGTCACGGAAGCGACCTTCACGGTCAGCCGCAGTCTGCGTCTGAATGGAGTGACTGTCAGTCCTTTTTCCTTCAGTCCCTTTTCGACGCGCCGTCGATGTCGCGCTAAGCTTATGCAGTCACAGAAATGTGTGAGTGAGTGCGTACTGCACATTGTGTGCGTCAAGTGTCAATTTTAACATGTATTGCTATCCAGCCGTATTACGAGACTCTTATCAACGTCTTATTAGTGGAATCCGGGATATCTTAATACCGCTGTAACAAAGGTTCATGTCACATGCACCAGGAAACGTTAAAAAACTTGTTTCGGCTCGAGCTCTCTGACAGCCCGCTGGATGATGGAGTACGGCATCTTTGAAGGTCTTCTTGACGTCTGATGTATGTAGTACAGGGTTCCGGCTCTTATGGGGACAGCATAGAAGAAAACGTTTTGGTGATGCGCCCTCTGTAAAGCTACCACGCTTTACGACATACCGGCCAACAGGTTTTTCTCTTAGGGCTGTTCTTTGGGTATTTTCTGCTCTAGTGCTCGTGCTCTTTAAGAAATGGTTGACCTAAGCAAATGACATGTCGGCATTAAATTATGTGCGGCGTAAGGCAGGGATGGTGGTTACTTGAGCCCCCAGGTTGATTGCTTGCAACGAACAAAAAAAAAAAGCCCAACTGTGGCTTGCCGGATGCTACTGCCTACGCTATGTATGACAGGTGGCAACGTTCACCGATGGTAAACAGGTGTATGGCGTGTATGTACAAAATGTATGACAAGTGGCGCGAACTTTAACCCACGCAATCACATGCACAAGTGTTGTTCCCCAACGCTTGTACTGCGTACATAAAGTCCAGGTCCAGGTGGTCCTTCAAAGAAACAAAGTAAACGGACCGCATACGACCACTGCCCACCAACGTGCACCTACCGATTTTGCCGAACGTCATCCAGTTGACGCCCTGCGCGCCGCGGGCGACCAGGGAGAAGCCGATGGTGGCGCCGACGATCGTGTGCGTGCCCGAGATGGGCAGGCGCAGGAAAGTGGCCAGCAGATTCCAGATCGCCGAGCCGCCTGCAAGAAGGACCGGGAAGGCCGTCAGCGTCGTCAGCGCACGCGCAGTGTCTGCTCTCTTCCAATGGTGATTGTGCGGGTCTCTGTGAGCCGCCTTCGACAGGCAGCAACGGATGAACAGAATAAAATGCGGGTGACGATTGCTGGATATAAACGAAAGCGGGCAGTCCATTTCTTAGGTATGGTGCCAATACAATGCCAGTGTAAATAAAAAATACTTGGAGACGTATATGGCTCCCAGTTCTAAGCGTGATCTACGAAAAGGACACAGAAAACTGCATTCTCGGCTTCTCGTAACTCAGATCTGACACTCATGCGTGGTGAAAGGCAGCACCACTGCGATCTGGGCAGACGTAATTCAGTGCTCCTGCCACCCGGTATGGTGATCCTCCGTCACGACTTACATTTCGTCAAAATTCAACGCGCTTGCATCCTGTCGTCAAAATGGCTCAAAGTGGATAATATTTAAAGTATTTGCTACATGGTCAAAAGGCATCTCGTGAGTGCATTGCCAAGCCGTACAGTTATGGACTGGAAACGCTTGAACGTATAGTTCATAAAATGTTCCGATATCTTATGGAAAGGGATTGTGCATGTGCATACGTGCGCATTCGCCAGCAATATTTAAACGGCGGCCTGTAGTCTGCTCTCAGATTTTCATTGCTCAGTCTACTTTTGAATACCGAAATTCCAAGCCAGTCATGCTACCTCAACTGTCGCCGTGATATTTCATCGTCTTTGTTACAATGCTTCGGTACCTTAAGATTTCAATATAATCCAGTTAACAACCTGACTTTGCCTGACTTTGCCTTGGCCTGACTTCGACCTGCCATAGCCCAATGACCTTACAGGATACATATAAATGTTTGATGCCAAACGATCCGCTATTCAAATATCTACAGCTATGCAAAATTTGGCCCGGCTTCCCTGCGACGTTCGGAAACCATTCTGAAAAAACCTTCGGGGGGTCAATTTGGCCCCCGCCCGAGAGCGTGTTGACGTTACCGTCAACACACAGCTAGTCGCAAACCTGCTCCTACGATCTGTCTGCTGTCATACATTGTCGTGGACAGGATTGTCTGCACATTCAAATCACGTAAGTTGTTAAGTGCATTTGCGAGGAGCATTATTCACATAAATGAGACGGTGGTAAAAGTCTCATTGCTCGGCGAAGAATCAGGAGAATGAAAATGTAGATGCGTTGATATTTCGGCACCATTCCTTCACGAAACAATCTCAGAAGTGTACAAATATATATATATATATATATATATATATATATATATATATGGCTATATATATATATATATGGTTATATATATATATATATATATATATATATATATAAAACCAAAGCTGAGGTATTTTAACGCATAACAGCAGAAGCATATAAAATTAGTCTTTTCTCGGGGCTTGATTGGTGATCAGGTTGTTCCATCCACGCATGAGATTAATGGCACCCCAGTGGCAAAACACGGGTCTTCTAGCACGTAACACGCGTCGGTTGCGGGTCGCAAGGCAAACAGAATCAGAACTGTACTGATCACGCCAGAGACAGTTGGAACGGAGTGGCTTCGTTGAAAATTGAACATTCCATTTGCCCAAGCATTCGGTCAAAATTTGTGTGATGAAAGCACACACGCGTGAGCTAGGCAAATAACAGCTAGTTTACATAAGATAATACGCGTTCGCCGTGTTTGCCAGAAGATGTGGGTGAAATTAGACGACGCACCAAAGATGTGACGAAATGGCACTTATAAAACCATGATTTAGCCCAGGTATGACACCAAAGACATAGTGTCGATGACAGTAAAATAAGACTTCGTTCCATTTGAACATCTTGCACCATACTTGCGAGCACGTGTTGAAGTGCCGCTTGGCCAGAATTTGTGCTAAACTAGCATATTTGATAAGACAGGGGCATTGGTGGATCCTGAGAGTGCACGGGGCCAGATCCCTTGAACCCCGAAGGGGCCATAATCTGCCAAACAAAACCAATTAAAAAACGCAAACAAGTCCGTTCTTGAGCTTCCAGCCGACCATGAATAGCCACAGGTAGCAATGGCCTGTCCATGAGCAGCAAATTGGTCCCGGTCATTGAAAGGGTGTTGGCTGGAGAGGTTTTAGGGATCATTCTTTGCAGGAGCCCTACACTGTCGCCCAAAACCCTGCATGTCCAATTAAAAGGAGTGTTCCATGTGTGTATGGGATTTTGAATTGAAATAGCTACACCTTGAAGATCATTCGATACAGTTCATAGCCTTGCCCTTCTTACGACCTAGGCCCCTATACTTTCTAAGCGACACGCCCACGGAGGTGGGCAGACCAGTTTGAGACCATTTCAAAGTCACCCAGGCATACATGACGACCATCATAACTTCTGTCAAAGTCTGACATTTTATTAGCCATACGGCAACCAAGGCCAAGAAAAACATCGTTCTCGAGTCATTCATATCCGGCGTTTGTGAACGCGCTTTTTAGAATTAACGGCTGTCGATTGGCTCTCAACCATTGTTGTGCATGAAACGATGACTTAATCAAGCAATGACATATTGAGAAACATATTTACTAAACAGACAAATTGTGTTGTATAGAGCAGTCTTTTCCATTTGAAAGTACCTATACCTATGCGTGATAAGTGGGCTTATTTCATGATATATGATGCTTGCTTTAATATCTTCAAATGTGTAGCATTCCCTTTAAATTTAGCATAACCAAATGATATATATAGATATATATATATATATATATATATATATATATATACATATATATATATATATATATATATATATATATATGTATAACTTGGGTTTAGTCTGTGTCATCTTCGAACACATGCACGCACGCACGTACGCACGGCACATGCACACATACACACACAAACGCGCGCGCGCGCACGTGCACACGCACGCGCAAACGCACACGCACATGCACACGCACAGCATATGACGGCAGGCGCACGGGTTCTCCACAGCGCTTGCCGGTGGGACTGGGATCCGCCGGGGCATGAACCACGAGGAAACGCCCACTAAAGGTGCAATCGTCCCCACAGCCCCGGGGTCGGTCTGGTTCGCCGCTCGATCGCGTGGCAGTAGCAGTGGCACCCCAGGATGTACACTGGCGTGTTTAATCTTCCGGAGCGATGCCCGTAGGCTGCGTCAAGACTTATTTACACATCGTGACGCAGCAGAGCCGGCTTGTAGCCAAAATCGTATACGGGCCAAGGTGCTGCACTGCTGGTGTAACCCGAAAAAGCTGTCAGCCTGTCCGGCAACGTAGGCAACAGCCGTTGCTGGTCCGGGTTGAGTTGTAAGCAGCTCCAAAACTGACACCGCTGACCACGATTCTGAATAATCAGCGAGGCAATCACGCGTCGGAGGCTCCTTGCCGTCGACAACCCCGACGTTCCTCGTAAGGGCACAGAGATTGGCAAGAGCAGCGCGCTGCGTTGTTCACCACCTGCAGGCCCATTGGCAGCATTCTCGCGGCGCCTTTGTCTGCACAGATCCGCAGTGGAACGACAGTGCACGTTGACAAGTGAACAGCGACAAAAAATGCACCAGATTGCCTGTTCACCCAACGTATACGTATCTCATATGGTAATTGGCATATTTAGCAAGTCAAGCTAGAGGCTCGCTTTTGTAGGGCGCGTCCGAAGGTGTTTTCAAATTTCCGGAGACATCACTGCCATCCTCGAATTTTACCATTGAGTAGGACCTGGCTTTTCCCTTTTTGAGGCAGCATTACGACTTAGGTTAAAACAAAAAGTTAGACGGCTCGCCTAATAGCTCTGCTAAGGCTTTGACGCACATATACAGACTAGGTTCAGTTCCAAAACTGGATTCTGGAAGATCCTGCACAAGGATGAGTGAAGTCACAGGTCTTAAATACCAAGTGAAATTTTCATGAAACAAGCCAAGTTTCCACAAGATCAAACGGGAAAATTTTAACGAAGACCTTAGATTTCAGAAGATACGCTGACAAATTAAAAAATATCCATGATCTGGGAAGACCTCGGCAGTATTTCAACAAGATCCAGGACCTAGATCATGGGGATCTGATCTCGGGTTTCCTTGTGCGGGTCTTGGCACATATCTGGTCCGAGCCATGCCGCAAGGCTCTCAAAATAAATAGGAGGATCCCGAGATCAAGATAAAGGGCCCATGGCAGTCGCGAGTGCCCCGGCAGATTAACGTGCGGGACCTCCAACAACAGCGTAGAGTCCATGCACAGCGCGCATTGGGTCCTGAACTTAACAGTCATAGCCCCTCAATCCGTCAATGATTCATTTCGTCTGCTCTTGTGCTCTTCATCTTCGGCTGTGATCTTTCTCGCTGACCATAAATGGTCAATATGAGAGCAATATCGGCATAAAGGCACGCAAAAAAGGACTCTGTACTACGTAGTAAGACTAATCTAAGTTAAATCGTGTACACAATCAGCTTCAATGTGCAGGTGCACGAGCACGTATTACATGTATTGCTAAGGATGAAAATACCAGACATACCAGAGACATCAGCTCTGCGGCTCCAAAAGACGATTGCAGGAATATTGGCCCGCAAAACTCTTCCGGCATTCATAATCGGCTTCGCAGCACGGGTTTTGTGAAACAAAAAGCCGACCTAGCGACAACTACGCGTCTCGTCAAGGTGGCACTGATCTGTGGGTTCGGCAGCACACAAATCGCGTCGACTCGAGGCTCCCGTAAACACCCCATCGCCTGCAGTGTTCTCGAGCGCCGCTCTAGCGTGCCTTCGACGCGCCACGCTGCTCCTCACCCCCTGCATCCACGCTAACCGCCAACGGCGACTCGCTCCGTGTCAACAACTGCATAAATATCTCTGGTGGGCGACAAGAGGCTGCAAGAGGGCGACACGCCGCGGGAGCGAGCTGGGGCAGACACCGGAGCGCGGGACAGCGAGCCGTCGCCAAGCTGTGGCGCCGCTCGCTCGGACCCCGAATGGCACCGGCACCGGCAGGAGACGCGGAATGAATGGCCGGGTTGAGGCGGTCCTCTCACGGCAGATGTCCCACGCGGGACTGGTTCCCAGCGTTTGCCAGCGCTACCGACGCAGGGATCGGTATAAACTGCCTGCTGACCAAGCGTTAGACTAGCCAGCTAGCCCGGCGTATCTGCACCGCGGAATGAGCTAAATCGAATGAGTTAAGTCGAGAATCCTGGAACGAGTTAAGTCGAAGTGTTCGCACAAAAAGGTGTAGCACCGTCACCTCGCTGTCTGTAAAAAATGATGATATTTCTATCTCATTAACGATGACCCGAGCTGCACTATTTTCATGATGTGTTCTGAGAACTTGTGGTAGCGTCACAACTCACACATTTCTTACCCCATTGCTTATGGAGTAATAGCTCAAATCCGAAGTGGCTGGTAAAGGCTCCAAATCGACGGCGGGATAATGACAGGGGCATTTGCAGACGCATGGCGATGACCGCATCACTTCAACTGAGGAAACGAATTCAAAGCATAGCCGTGCCGCGCGCGCGATAGCGGAAGCGCGCTCAGCAAAACCGTGCTGGCTCCGCTCACCAAAACAAATTCAGCATTGGCCGCTTGGTGCCAGATCGCTCACTGCCCGTGCTAACATATCCGTGAATGACATCATATGACTGTATGATTAATGACATTGTTGACATATGACTATGGCCAACCGAGAGCTTTCAAGCCCTGCAGCTCACGACCCAAGTAGTAATACGGGAGTAGCCGCCGATGGTAACGCCCAGCAGCGGCATATACGGAGCGGTGGTGTTGTAAAGCCTGCCCGGATGCCCACGCCAAGCATGGCGCGCCACAAACCGAGCCCACGTCGTTCCGCCACTGGCATGGCAACACAGATTTGCAACGAAAGTCCCGAATTCCGAACATTTGAAGACGGTGCAGCACATTGAAATACTTAAAGCCAGAAAGTGTTTCAAAGTGCTTAAAGAGTGCTCACATTTCCCACTTTGTGGGAGGTGTGACGGGGACGGCAGCTGCGGCCTGCAGCGGCCTGCGGTCCGCTCGGGCTTACCGAGTGCCGCCAGCGAGCCGAGCATCAGCTCCTTCTCCGCGTTCTCGTACAGAGAGACGTCCAGGATGCCTTTCCGCATCGTCTCCGATACTTTATACCCTGTGAAGAGATGGGGTGTTGAAGCTGGGAGGTTGACAGGCCACGCGCGTGAGGTTTCGCACTGTCACCAACGGCACGGGAGGAGTGGTGTAGCAGTTTGCCAGTTCCAAGCTAGCTGGTTACAACTGATGAGCTGTTAATATACCGACAGACGACTAGACCTACTTGCAAACTGGTGGCAGCCCTGTTTAACATGTCACATATTTCGAGCGTACCTCAACCATATGAACGACACAACTCTTCTACAGAAGAGGTTCAACATAAAAATCGTCATATTTTTAAGTGGAAGAAAGCAGGTGAATAGCACTCTGAGGAAGAATGGACAAAGGTAGGTGAATGATATTGTTCAGAGGACATTTCAGTTACACATACCGACACAGACAGCAGAATACGTGTATGAAAGCAGTTAGAAGTGAAAACTACGACGTTTTTTACACAATATAATGGGCAGAGCAGAAGTACTTCGATTATTAGTACATTTTGTAACAGTAGCGCTGCCGGTGGGCATACCACGTGGCAGACGGCAAGGAAACCATGCTCCCGAGATGAACCGCACATCAGACACCAAACGAATCACCGGGAAGGCTACTTTTGACACCACTGACAATGAACATTGCGCGACTTTTATCAATTATCATGCCGCACCTCTCACCCAGCTGCAAAAAAACGCCCATTTCGCTCTTGGCCAATGGCCCTGATCATTCTAATGTCTGCCGCTATGACTATGACACTACGACAGATGCTCTGTAATTACACTTTGGTATTTGCGGCTCATATGTAAACTAACAATGGCTATGGTAACATGTTTTTGGAAAAATGTAAAGCATACCAAATGTTTAAAACAACAGATTCGGCCTAATGGCGTCTTGATATCCACAATGCCATTTATGTGATAAAGATGCGTCACATTCTTATTCGCCAGCCACGTTACACCGTACGGATGTTCTGACTACGATGGCAGCTGCCACAGGCCGGCCACTTGTCAAGAGAACAACAGCGCTGTGTTCTGACTGCGATAGCAGCTGCCACAGGCCGGCCACTTGTCAAGAGAACAACAGCGCTATGTTCTGACTGCGATAGCAGCTGCCACAAGCTGACCACTTCTCACAAGGACAACATCGCTATGTTCTGACTGCGATAGCAGCTGCCACAGGCCGGCCACTTGTCAAGAGAACAACAGCGCTATGTTCTGACTGTGATGGCAGCTGCCACAAGCCGGCCGCTCGTCACAAGGACACCATCGCTGCTTGAACAGTAATAATTGCCCGTATCACAGGGGCATACTTTTCAATGTGTTGAAGGGGGGGGGGGGGAGACCGAGTGAGGAGAAGGGCTAGATGACAGGGGCATGTCAGGGCCACAGGGCCCTGATATGCTAGATCACAGGGGCAGATCAGGGCCACAGGGCCTTATCACAGGGGCATACTTTTCAATGTGTTGAAGGGGGGGGGGGGCGAGACCGAGTGAGGAGAAGGTCTAGAAGCGTTTAAAGTGTTAGAAGTTTGAAGCCCAGGGCTAGCCCTACCCAAAAATGCTTGAAAAAAATGGATTCCTCCCCGAATTCATATTGCTGCCTTCTCAAACTTTGGACACCCAACTGATTAGGAAACTACACCCCTGCCTGTCACAATTATACATGTGCGGCGGTAGCGTTTCTTTTCGACAACTTTTTTCTTAAAATATATTCTTCACTGACGATGGTCCTCCCTTCTTCTGCTCCTGTGGTCTGCAGAGGTGTTGTGGACTTCAAGGGCGATTACGCGCTTCTGGAAGTTGTTCAGGTTCGGAAAACGAGGATGCGACAGGCTGACTGTCTTCTGACGATGATGAGGAAGACTGGCAGCCAGCTAACGAGGGTGGAGCTGACGAAAATGGATAAGACTGGCTGCGTACTAACGAGGTTAGAACTGACGAAGATGGGAAAGGCTGGCAGCTAACTAACGAGGATAGACCTGACGAGGGCGGGGGCTGACGAGGATGGGGAAGACTGACTGCAAAGGATGGCGCGAGCAAATTTTTTATATGGGGACAGTGTCTTAAAACCATAACACTTCAACAAAAATGGGTAAGAAATCACACGTTTGATAACTGGCTACCTTATAAATAATCGGCGCCATGCCGACTCCTCGCGTGCCTTGCGCTGTGCCAACGAAAAACATGGCCGCGCTGTAACCAAAGATGAGGCCAGGGCTGGGGCCCGCAACTTTCCGAAGACTTCCGCAACCCTACCTTCTTAGCCCTAAGGTTTTTGGATGATAGTCCTCCGGCATTTTGTGTTATAACACCCAAATTTTCAGTAGTCCGTGAAGGATATCATGAACAGCACACAAACCGTTCCTTACTCATATTTTATCACCAGACACATGTTTGGTTTCCCAGCAGCGGCGGTTCTTTCAGGAACACTGCATGTCGGTTTGGGCGAAGGGCTGATAATGTTACATTAATGGAACCATATATCATGAAGGTATACTCAACACACAAAAATATATACAACTGCACTGAGAATTGATGGCGCAACACGCTTGTTTAGATTTCGTGCCACCATGAGGCATGGTCTGGTATGAATGAATTTGTCAAGGTGAAAAATCGATGTTCTGGAAATTTGACATTTTGGCCTGGCATAATGGGAACAAATATTGACCCAACAGCACACAGACTAGTGCTAATCATGATTTGTTGTTGAGACCAATCCACTAGAATTTTTGCTAATTTGTATCGTTCTTCATTGAAAACGTCAGCCCCTCCCCCACGGTCCCTTCCCGCTGACTGCCAACTGATAAGGATGGGGAAGGCTGACAGCCAACTGAGAGAGTCCGCTAAGAGTGAGACCGGGACAGAAGCGAGTTCATATCGCCTGTAGGGAATCCACTTCACGGGGGATCGAGGCTTCGATGCGACTGGTGGTACCGTTATCGGCGGTCGACTCAAGCACGCTGGGTGGTGGTGTATATGACATCAGATGAATTAAAACTGCGTCGGACTTCCGCCTTCTGTGCGCTCATTCTTAGAGAGCCCCTGTAGGCACCGATCTTCCCACGCTTACGCTTAGACAAGCATTGTGGGCAACGATCTTCCAATGATCCTCCTCAAGATATATTTCTGAAGGCCGTCTCTAAGAACAGTTCAAGGCAAACTCACCAGTGGAGACTTTCTGCAGAGCACTCTGCCTACGACACTGCCTCTGCTTACGACACTACTGCCTCTGCCTACGACACTGCCTCTGCTTACGACACTACTGCCTCTGCCTACGACACTGCCTCTGCTTACAAATGTGAATGGCTGACGTCGAGCGTAATTTTTCCCAGGCACGCTGTTCGGAGGACATGAGCCAGGTGTCGCTCACTTACCTATCAGGACAGCGCCAGCCACCTCGAACACGGTGGCCAGGATGCAGGCATTCCTCAGCGTGAGCGCGCGAGCGCCGACGCTGGTGCCGAAGCTGTTGGCCACGTCATTGGCGCCCACGCCGAATGCCAGCACAAAGGACACGACGAACGAGGCGACGACGATCCACACGAGCTCGGCCGCCCACGGCTCCATGGCCGAGGCGGGGACAGGCACTCCCACGGACGACGCTACGTGAACGGGCTGTATCAGAGACGCGTCGGGGCTGGGGCGCGCTGCGGAGTCTGGTCGGCCACACGCACGGTCCGGCAGATCGGCATCGCGAGCTTGGTCTCTGCGTCAGCGGTCTCCGGACAGCGGCGCCTCCGGGGCCGGAGCCGCCACCACCGCTGCCGAAGAGAGCTCTCGCGCGGCGCCCGCCGCCGCCGTCGCCGCCGTCACCTGCAACAGAGCGGGGCAGCCTCTCAGCACGGGCGGCACTCACCGATCAGGATGGCGCCGAGCATCTCGCCGATGGTGGCGATGATGCAGGCGTTGCGCAGCGTGATCGCCTTGGCACCGACGCTTGTGCCGAACACGTTGGCCACGTCGTTGGCGCCGATGCCGAAGGCGAGCGCGAAGGCGACGAGGAAGGAGGCGACGACCAGCCAGACGAGGCTGGGGTCGTACGGCACGATGTCGCCCGTCGCGACCGTCGTCACCTCCGTCACCGACGCCGCCACGGCCTCGGTCACGGCGGCTACCGCCTCAGTCAACGTGGTCGCCATGGCGGGGCCCGCACGACGTCTCCAGCCGCGGCCCGACCCCAGACGAGGCATGCCCTACTGCGGGTGACGTCACAGCCCCGGCCGCCAATGTGCCCGCCCGCCCGCCGGTCCCGCCAACAGGTACCAGCGGCCGCCGGCGCCACCGACCGTCATGTATGCTCTTGGTGCACGGACTAGACAAGGATGATCAGAGGGCTCGCAGCCAGCACAGTTGGTGTGTTCTGAAGAAGGACCTCCTCTCAGATTATATGACCGAGGGACACAGCATTTTGAGATGAATTGCAAATTTCCCAGGAATCGTTTTTCCCTCATTTGGCCAAGCTTAACAGCCGTTAAAACAAACTTATAACTGTACTATTTTTCGTTTGAAGCACACAGTGAGCACGACAGCGATATGCTAATTTATATGGTTTGGCGCCGTCGCCTCAGGTGTCGGGCTTTGTTTTGACTTTTGCATAAATATTAGCGTGCTGCCGAGAAATGGGCGTTCCAAATCCAGCAGAAACAGGCCCCAGGCTATTACACCCCGTACATCATAAATGGCTCACTTTACTTACAACTTACAGTGGCTCACACAACTTACAGTGCTTAGGGGGTTGATTTGAACACATTTATTTTGGGAGTTCATTTGTTCGCAACTAAAAATGCATATCTGACCATTAACCAAGACTAATCAGGCGGACTAGTAGATATCACCCAAGCCCAACATATGAAAAGAGGTTTGACACGCTGAAGCCGCGACCTTTTGTATATATATATATATATATATATATATATATATATATATATATGATCTTAAACTTGATGCTGTTGAGGCGATGCCATAACATGTGTTTCCACTGATTTGACCGATTCGCAGGTTCGCCTATTCCAGCCGGCTTTGAATTTCCCGAGTACGATCCTATGTACGCATCGCTCAGTACCATGTTTGTCGCGAAGGTCCGCGATGTTTTGCTAACTCAGAGTGTGTCCCCATTTAATAGCTACAAGCGTCAACAAGCCAAGCAAAATTTCGTGTATGGCGACATTGTACAAGCACATCATCTTTTTATCAACGCATCTATGAGCGAAAGGTCTTAGCTAAAAACGCGCGAGAAGTTAAGGGAAGAACGCATAATCCGCTCGTCTTATACAGTAAAATAATGTTAAAGAAAGTCAGATTAGGCCATCTAAGTGACCCCTAAGGGAGGTGTCTCATAGTAAATCAGAGCCTTGACTCACCGCACGTACCAAAATTCCCCCGTTCCGGTAGTGACACATTTCAGCTAGATACAGACTAAATTAAGGAATATAAGTCACCTCTCGGCAGCGACAGAGAAAGCAGAAGACTTTTGACTTGCCAGCGGGGTGAAGGTGCCATGCGAATGGGGTCCCTTCAGTATGTCAACAGGGCTGGTATGTATAATACTGAGTGTATATTACATATATATGCACACACATACATACGTGTATGTATATATGCATGCATCTATACATGCATGCATATATATATATATATATAGATATATATAGATATATATATATATATATATATATATATATATATATATATATATATATATATATATATATATATATATATATATATGCTGTTATATATGTATAAATAATTATATGCGCAAGAATGAAATGAAGAGCGCTCTTTTGGTCACTGTCAACCGCAAATGGCATATTATCTGAGGTCCTGTCCTGAGGACCCATATCAACAACAGTAACGACGATGGACCGGCTTAACACCTTTCATGACTGACATGTGCCTGGGAGTGTTGTGGGGACAACGGCTATATCGGCTTCGTAGTCGCCCACTTGGCACCTGAGTGCCAGTTACAAATGTCCGTAAGGTTTTGTTTAACGTGGGCTGCGCGCAGTGTGGCGGAAGTCACTCTGTAATTCATCGACTGACGGTGGCGTCCGACGGACCGGAAGCGTCTCATCTCGCTGTCATTCGAGACCCGCATTGAGCGCAGGTCACGTCTAATTCCAGGTGCAGGTAGCTCTCCGGTTTTACGCGACGTGCCACGGGGCTGCGAGCGTGCTTTGAATTAAGTGTACCGTGCGCGGATTAAAATGCTTCAAAAATATGCATTGCATTACATTCATAGTGAAGGACGGAATAGCACCACCCTCAGGGTGATGCGTAGAACATACACTTCTACCTCGCTGAGCATGATCATTGCAAGAAAAAGCCACGTCCATTTCATCGGTGCCATGTTTAGGAAACATTAAAAGGCTTCCTAAGCTTGCATCGACGATTTCTTCAAAAGGAGAATTTCATCATAAAACCACACTCTAGTAAGGAGTCGAAAATGCCGCAGTAACTATTCGATGTTGCCCGGGGCCAAAACGCTCTGGCAGTTCCGTTTCGTAAGGATAAATCTTACGTAACTGGAGAACTACGCGTATTTATGGTCGAGCGACCCCTTCAAACGGGGTCACCTTATTTGTCACATAGTTTCAGAAACACCAGCCCCACCGTGTAAAGGAGCGAAACAATTTAAATGCCTTATGCTGTCGTGTATTCCCAGAGCCACTTTCACTGAAGTCGACCGACGAATTTATTGAAGCATTGGGACAGAATGAAAAACAACGTGTTTTCGTGTGTTCGGGTGCACTGCTTCTTTTAACCAATAAACCAGTCAACGAGATTATCGGGATTTTTTTCTAGCATATGCACGTATTCACATATACACATATAACATGATATATCCACGACATTATGTATGGCTCCCGTCGAACCCCTGCTATCACCAACATCGATCTTAGTCTCTTCACTTCTGGTCCGTGCATTAGCGACATACAAATTAACATAGCACGCACTCGCCGTCTCAACACCAAACTGTGAGAACTCCGTCGGTCAGTTCACTACCCAGTCATATGCGAACAGACAATCGAGCTATCTGAGTCAATGAAAAGGCTTCGAGATTGCAAGTCAAGCCATGTGCAAATCCCGTTCGTCGATGGAGATCATGGATAGTGGTGCGGCTGGCGCCGCCTATTACCTCAGTATGGAGGCCGCTTGCCGACATTCGGTCAAGCCTGCATGGCGGCAGCGGGTGTGCCGACAGGTACAAATAGGCGCCATCAGAACGGGGACTTAACCATTGCAGGGCGTGGTCCCCATTACATAAGCAGTGAGGTGCCTTGTCACTTCCAACCAGTGAAGCAAATTTCTGTCCATAACAGCCGCCACATGACTGCGATAGATGAAGAGATCCGGCGACAATCCCACAAACATTTGTATACTTCGCCGCCGCCCATCGTCCAACGCGGCGAACAGGCAACAGTCGGGGCATATTTACCCGGGCAGCACTGATAACACAGCGCGTCCTGGTGTTTAATTTCGCTGACAACCTCCGCACTGTAATCGTAAATCTCAGAAGACGAAGATATGAAAAGCAGGCATGCATCCGAGAAACGGGAGGAATGACACCTTGCATGGCACCTCTCAGCACGGGTGACTGACAGGCCAGAAGTAAACATTCAAAGACTTCACACCCGTAAAACCCCAGGCACGGGCGAAAGGCTCAGGCCATTTTCTTCGACGACAATCAACGAGAGTGGATTTTCCAGACGCCAGCGCCCGCCCTCGACAGGAACAGTGCATTAGTTCACTGTTCGTCCGCGGCATGGAGCCAGCGTCGCGTCCAGATGGCGCCTGCGCAGTCCCGGAAGCGAGCCGCTCGGCGCGGCGTCACTATTGAACTTGAGACGCTCTCAATCCTTACAATCAAGGGGTGAGGGAGGCCACTGTCGGAACCGGCCCGGGGGGGAGGGGTATCCAGCCGGTGTCTTGCCCGAGCTGGCTGCTAAGGTCGGCTGTTTAGACGGATGGACCCGGACTGTGCACCACCCTCACCGGTTCTGACCCGATCGGAGATGACGTGGGTGACCATGAAACGCGTTCACTTCAGAAGTCATTTGCAAATAGCCTATCTTCAGGAACTGTCTGATGACTTGAGACAAATATGAAAAATTGCGGCGCGGACGTAACGGCGCCAAATCAGAAACACAAAATCAGTGGCAGTAAGAACGGAAGGAAGCACAAGGTGCTTATGTTGGCAGTCCCGCGTCTTCCCGGCACCAGAAAGCGTTGGTTTATACCGAGTATTATGGAGCTCTGTGCAGATGCCGGTACCACGTCACCTTGCTGGTGTTGAGTCAGTTCTTATTTACATGAGCTGGTAACGACGGCGATATTTTGGAGATCCAATTCCTAGTATGGGGCAGTGAGGCGCTACACAGGGAACAAGTTGCTAATCACGTGATCAGTCGGCTTTAGCAGCTGCTTTCGTGTGATCAGAAAAACATGAGTTTGAAATAAAAAAGGATGTGGCTCCGATGACGAACAGCAGCATGCATCAAAGTAGTTATCATAGTAGGGGAGGAAACGTCATTATTTTAAGTGATTCCCTAAGCAAGGAATAGCATCAACGAAAAAATGGGCCAACTCAGTTATCAGCCTAATTAGTGAAAATGCAAATCTGCATTTCCTACCAAAAGCGGAGCATTATTAAGCTCGCTGGCGGCACGCCAGGCCAGATTGTTCCGAAACAGAGTTGTTTTGCTCCTCCTGGCACGTTTGGCAGCGATCGCCTGGTAATCTTCGTGCAATACTGAAGGGACATGAGTAAACACTTTGGGAGGATGTGTGGCAGGGATCACGGGGAACACGGG